TAAAAGGAACAATTCAAAAAAGAAGAATTACAATTGACCAACAAATCTATGAAAACATAGTTAATTTATTAATAAAGAAATGTTAGTTTTAACATAGATACAATTTTTAGCTTTTTTTAAAAAAGCTTTCTTTTTATCGTATGTTTCATTATATGAAAGCATACAGTGTTGATGGTAAAAATGGGCATTCTTGTATATGGCCAGTAGAATTGCAAGTAGGTAAAGTTTTTGGTGGGTAATTTGTCAGTGTGAATTTAGAAGCATCAAAAATATTTATATTTTGACTTATCAATCCACAAGGATAATTTTATTGTAAGGAAATAGTGAAGGCTATGTACTAAGTCTTGGCTATAAGTTTATACACTGCAGTGTTTTTAAGTCAAAATTGGAAATAATTTAAATGTTTATTGGTTAAATAAATCATGATACGGACAAGCTGTGGAATATGAAAAAACAGGTCTCAATTATAGGAGGGAGAAAAATATTTTTATTCTACCCGTCTTAGTTCTCTGGCTGGGACCCTATGAATTAGATCAGCAAAAGACAGACTAACAAGGGAAAAACACACAGAAGTTTAGTGACACATCTATCATGCACGCACATGGGAGCACCCAGTGCTAAGTAACCCAAGAGGTGGTTAGACCTTGAGCTTATGTTCCCTCTTAAGCCAAACAAAGTGAAAGGAGTCTGGGGCTTCTGAGTGGGGGAGGCAAGTTATGGGGCAACCAGGAAAAGTACAGTTAATACGGGTCGTTTAGTTAAGTTGGTTACAAAGATTGAAGTTGTGCCTCCTTCCCTGGTGAGAGTTGCCAAGAGTCCTCCTCTTCCAGTCACAGGAGAGGAAGATGTCTTTTACAAATGGATATTTCCTTTATAAATGTAAATTTCCCTTACAAAAAGAAAACCTTGTGCCCTGCTTTTAGAGTTTTTTCTGCATCTGCTGGTTTGAGGTGGCTTTTAGCTCAAAATAATCCATATGCCAAAGATGCGTGCTTGGCATCTTCTGGTGTCCTTCATAAGAAACAATTTAATCCCATTTTATTTCTCAATCAGCGTATGCGGGTGTGTGTCTCTCGGAAGGATGTCCAGCAGGGTGTGGGTCCTTGTGTGGTGGGATAACAGTTTTTGTTCTGTCCATCCTTGGTTGTTGTTGCTATTCTAATATTTCTAAATTGAACATGTATTGTCTTTTGATTGATTTCTTTTTAATTCTAAGTGGGCCTCCCATTGGGGTGAAAGCTCCAAGTACTGCAGTGGGTGCAGCCCTGTCTTTGAGTGAGTGTGAGTTTCAG